ATCCTGGCCGTTCTAACAGCCGAATCATTCTTAAAACAGAGCAACACTGCCATCTTCAGGCCATGTATAGTGATTACAAGTCTTATAAAGGAGTTGTAAGGTCCCAGCATCTCCTCTCCTGTTATAACATCAGCATTGTAATAGGAATACATACTAGAGTTGTTTCTGATATTACAATCAAAGCTTACTTGAAAAAAAATCCCTTTTATGTAGTGAGTGCCGCCTTCCGTCTGCCCATCACTTTCATCAACTTCCTGGATTCTTTTTCATTTGCTTTGCATTTCTTTCCCTGATGATTGATGTGATGCAATCTTGATTTCTCAAAACCCCATATCCCATCATGCATTGCTTCCAGCAAGCAGTGATAATGTTACATTGTTCAGGCGTTGAGTTGTAGTTCAGAAGGCTCTGTGAGAGGGGTGACACCAGGAAGTACATATTCACAGGGCTGACTGAAATGGTGTCAGTGCATTGAGGAAGTCCATCCTATGGGCATCTTCAATAAGTATGTTTACAAGAGTCTTGGTCCGGTTATTAGGAGAGAACTTATGGAAATTCAATATAGAAATACAGATTTATTTTTATTTTTTCACCAGAGATACCCTTTAAACCGTTTCTAAAACCAATCCAATTTGACTGCTTCAGTATAGTTACACCGATTTACTTTTATGATACATTTTTCAACAATCTTATAGGAACCCTGTGCTTAAAAATATGCAGAGGCTGCCATTGCTGACTTCTGAAAATTCTTCTTGCTTGGCTGTCACTTGATCTAATGACTCAGAACATTTAGGGCTCATTCACTCCGGTTCAGCTGAGCTGTGCAGATCAACACAGGCTCGACGACAGGGCACACAGTAAACTCTGTTCACACTTCAATGCTGCCTTCAGGTGGGTTGCACTATATTGCATATAAATGCAGACATGCTGCATTTTTCTTCAACTCACCCCAGCTGACCAGAAGTCATTGTTTGTCACCGCTGCGGGACAAAGAAATGAATGAAATGTCATCTTGCACTCTAACAATGTGAATACAAATATCCTATGCTCCTCAGTGCCATCTAGTGGCCATCATTTATTACTACAGCACAATACATTTAAACTGGGAAAAAGACATTAAAGTAGCATTAAAGTTACTTTTTTTAACATATATCTACTGCTAGCAAGCAGTAGATATATGCAAAAACATTTAAACAATAAAAAAAGTTACCAAACAGGTAAAAAGCTCGCTCCGGCTGAAGATCTGGAGCTTCTCGAGCGGCTGTGCAGGAGGATGAGTGTGGGAACATGCGCAGTAGAGATCACTGGTGGGGAGAAGAGACTCACTGTAAGTCAATGCTCCTCCCAGAGCTGTAGCTGGCTCCTTTTGCGCCCGAACCAAGATCAGAAAATTGTGCCCCCCCCCAACAGATGTGTGATGTCACCCGAGCCCGCATGTGTCGTCATGTGGCCCCGCTTCTAGGATGGCGGCGATCTTGCGCAGGATGCGCTGGTGGCCAAATCCAAAATAGCAAATTTGTTGAAAACATTTGTAGTTTCCGATAATTTTGTCCAAAACAAATGTTTTAGTCTTTGCACACGTCTAATAATATGTGTGCGTGAGTGTGTGTTATTTATCTATTATTTTATTTATTTATCTTATGTTGGAGCGCTTTGGGAAAATATCTAAACAGACTCCTGACATTTCCCTTTTGAAATATTAAAAAGAGATTGGGGACACAGTGTACTCAATCTCTTTTTCTGCAGCCCCTGTTATCAATGAACAGGAATCCTCTATACTGAGTGTTCCTGATCATTCATAACATGAGGACAGAGTATGATTACTATATCCACAATCATGAATGGACAGGAGGTGCTGTAGATCACTTCCCATTCATTCATAATTGAGGATATAGTAACCATACTCTGTCCTCAATTATTTACAAACACTCAGGGAATTCATCAAAACCGGAGCAGCTGTGTATGGCAACCAATCAGCTTCTCTCTTTCATTTTCAAATCTTAACTGAACAAACTGAAGAGAGAAGCTGATGGGTCACAGTAAACAGCTACTCTACATTTTGTCTGCTCCAGTTTTGGTAAATTCCCCCCTCAGTGATCACTGACCACTGACTGCTTGTACCCGCTCTCCATCATGACAGCTGTCACAGGAGGCTGGGTGGGGGGGAGCAGGGAGGAGAGTTCAGCCTCTTGTGACAGCGCCGGCTGTCTCCATCCCGTGTGGGATGAGAGACGCCGCCCTCTCACAGCGCTCTCCTCCCGCAGCGCTCGGCCACCGGTGACACTTTCTCTCCTCCCCGCTGGGACACAGAGCAGCGCTCAGCAGGGAGGAGAGAAAGCAGGGATGCGCCACACAAAAATGGCACTTTCTGCATTTAGCCAAAAGCGCCATTTTCGGCCGATATGTTTCGGCGGCCGATATATCGGTGCATCGCTAGTTACAATAAAACAAGGAATTGGGTGAATACTTTATAATGCCATTGTATCACTGGGCACAGTTCCAAATTAGCCACATGAGGAGTGGCCGCCCAGGGGTCAGGGGGTGACACAGGGTGCTCTGGCCATCCATGTAGAAGGGTGTATGAAATCTTGATTTTCCAAATAAAACATTTAAAAGTGCAACTCCACTTTAAAAAAAAAAAAGATCCCCTCAAATGTTACTGCAGATCCCAACCTTATTCTTTTCTGATGAAATAGTTGTTGGGTTCTCCAGGTCCTTTCCAGACTGATCCTGAATTGGAGGGTCTGGGCCCATTATAATCACCTGAGCAAATCTCAGTGTTGTAATGAGAAAAGTCGCAGTGACTGCATCCCTTTAGTAGATGAACCTTGGGAAGTATCTCACCCAAAATGAAATTCATTTTGCAGGGGATGCCTGAGATGTTAGTTGTATCCTAGTGCAGACTTCTGGGAAAATCAGTCAGCCAATCACAGATGCAGGAAATGACGTTTCTTCGGGTATACTACAGAACGCCTCTAGGTTGCCGTATTGCAAAGTAGCGTTTTGGTTTTTTTACACTAACACATCAGTGCTTATTAGTACATTAGAAGAAATCATTTCTTCCTAAACTGTACATAAACACTTTCTTCTCAGTATACATCGTCATCATCCTGCTTCCTGTGTGACGCTTCCTCAGACTTCCTGTCGCGGACAGCGCACACCTAATATCATTGCTATTCTCCTGATTGCATTCAGCCGGACTACAGGTCCCATCATGCCTTGTACCAACACAGATGGCTGCCCTGTATCCTTTTTTTATGTTGTCATATTAGGCGCTCAGGGTGTTTTAAAGTCACTGGGTGACACAGGATGCTCTGAAGTCATAGGGATCAGGGGGTGACTGTAATATCTAAATTGCCTTGGCTTCCTGAAATAAGCTAACTTGCTATTCTCTGCTTCCAATGATGATAACGATACAATGGTTAAAAGAAGCAATGGTCTTATTTATTTATACACAAATCTAATCAAACATAATAAAAGATACAAACAGATACAATAAGACAATCAAGAGAATACTTTACACAGCAAGTCCGTCCTCTGGTTCCTATATCCTGGCTGGGCTCAAAGAGAGAGCAATATTGCCGCGCACGGACTTTTATCCCATTCATACACATACATCGACACCCCCTTTACCCAGAATTCCGCATGTCCCTTAAATGTCTCTCGGCCAATCGGCTTATCAACACCACAGGGTGCAAAGCTTGATGTCTCGTCCCGATGAATGAATGTCACCTTTCTCATCTCCCCCGCCATGCCCCAGGCATGAACAACACACAGTTGGTCTCTTTGATGAGCAATGCAATCAAGATTTGAAGATATCTGTTTGGCAGCTTTCGTACCTGAAAATGTTGTACACTCCAACAGTGACATAGGGTGCTCTGGAGTCACAGGGGTGACACAGGATGCTCTGGAGTCACAGGGGTCAGGGGGTGACACAGGATGCTCTGGAGTCACAGGGGCAAGGGGGGGCACAGGGGGCTCTGGAGTCACAGGGGTCAGGGGGGACACAGGGTGCTCTGGAGTCACAGGGGTCAGGGGGTGACACAGGGTGCTCTGGAGTCACAGGGGTCAGGGGGGACACAGGGTGCTCTGGAGTCACAGGGGTCAGGAGGTGACACAGGGTGCTCTGGAGTCACAGGGTCGGAGGTGAGACAGGGTGCTCTGGAGTCAGAGATCATGGAGTGACACGGGGCCACAAACTCACATGAGTGCTGGCTGGGGCCATCAGTCACTGGAGGCACAGGAGCACCAGACTCGTTACACTCACTGGAGAGCTGGGGTCACAAAAGTCTCAGAGAACATGGAAGCAGTGGCATGTCACTGGATGTTGCAAAAGGGGCACTTGGTTCAGGCAAAGCAACACAATGCTGCAACGCAGAGCCATGGATTTCTTTGCCATTTGTGCTGCACCAATCAGGAGAGCCATCTTCTGCCTGTCCATGACACCACAGAGTATTATGTTGTCAACATAATAGAAATAGATACAGAACAGATATAGAGGTAAAATATTTGAATGGGGACACCTGTTTTGGTCACAGGTAAGAAGAGCTATCCCCTCACATTGAGAAAATGTCCTCTCACTTCAGGTTGTGTATCCACCCTTTGGATTTACACTCTGCAGAAAGGGTTTACTATGTATAAATCCCTGAACCCACAATTCATTAGTGTATTTGTTTCACATTGCGGGCACTGGAGCAGGTGGGAGCGTAATGGGGTGACATACACCACCTCAGCAGCCAGCATTCCCCTATGAGAACAGACAGTGACTCAGCACACGCACCCACACCACCAGCAAGGAAGGAGGAAAAAAAAAAGACGCGCCAAAGCCCAGGTCACATGACCCCTTCTCCCGCCTCCAAGCCCGTAGGCAGGAACCATAAGTGCCGCCCTGTGCGCACGCCG